TTGCAGAAATGTAAAATAATGACACCCTTTTCACTACTTTTTTCTTGGAAAATATAGTTGTTTTTCATAAAATACTATCTTGGGTTAATATGTAATAAGTTTTACCGTTGTGATTTTAAATTAATATTTAAATAATTTTTATTTTTAATTTCTGATAGGACAAATATTAACAGATATTACTCAGATAAACAAAAGCTCTTTGGGGGGTCACTGATAATTTGTAAAAGTATAGAAGGGTGCTGAGACCAAAAAGCTTGAGAACCACTGGTGTAGGGGGTGCTAGGTACTTAACACATAAGCTTATAAATAAGCATGTCATTATAAATCATGGCAAGTGGTATAAAGAACAGGGTGCTAGGAGAAACGAACCAGTGAGAGCCATTAGAAGGGGGGTGACGTCAGAGAAGGCCCCTCTGAAGAAGTGATCTGAAGAACAAGAGTGAAGATCGTTGTGGGCATAGGGAACAGTACAGGCAAAGCCCCTGAAGTGGGGATGAGCGTGGCTTGGGGGGAATATGGTGATGAGAAGGAGAGTGGCATGGGATGAATCAGGAACTAAATCCTACAGACTCCTGTAGATCATGTTAAGATTTTGGCATTTTGTCCTCATTCCATGAAAAATTCATATCGTAGTAATAAGAATTACTATAATATGATCAGATTCAAATTTTAGAAAGAGGACTGATTGCTGTGTTGAAAAAAGACTGGAAGGGGATAGGAGAGAAGTGAGGGGAGCACTTGGGTGGCAATTTTAATAGTTCAGGGGAGAGCGAGGGGTGCCTGCACCAGGAAGGTAGTGGCGCAGGTGGGGCTATTTGAAGTTAACATTTATAGTTCTTGCTGCCCCCATTGGAGCAGAAGAGAGAGAAGACTCCTAGGTTAGAGCGCTTTTACCCACCATGCTTAGAGATACCAGTTCCCAGTATCACAAAGATCAAATATCCATTACATCAATTTTATAATTATTTGCTGGGTTTTTGTGTGTGCGACTGAATCACCCACATTTACTTGATAATTAGATGTGATGAGATTGAAAAAAGTCACTCTTATAGCGCCACCTTGTGGACAGTAGTGAGAAGTTTTCTTATTGGGTCCAATAACAAAAAAGACACAAAGTTCTCGAAGAGGCTCACCAGTTATCAGCCATTCCAAGTTCTTGGAAGGAGATGGGATATGAATACATTCTAGAGAATTAAAGTTAAACTGCTATCCTGAAAATAACTGTACAGATTTATTCAGGCTTGATCCCCTCTGGTTGACATCAACATCAACAGTAATTGACTGAAAATACCTTCTATTTCGGTCTCACCTGACGGCCACCTCTTGTATCTGTCCGCTCCTGTTCTGCTTCTTTCGCACCTGACCTGACTAATGACGCTGGAAGTCCTCAGGGCTCAGTTTTAGAACCAGCCCTCTTCTTCCTTCCTACTCTGCTTAGGCACATTTATTCCAGACCCTCATGTGACTTCCCATCAAGACTCCCAGAGTTCTCTGGTCCAAGCCTCTCCTCTGAGTGCAGGGTCCCTCTTTCTAATCCCCTGTTCCACCTCTCCATGTGAATGTTCCATTCAAGACTGAACTTGGGATTTCCTCCTCTCCACATCTGCCATTCTTCTGGTGTTTCCAAATTCAGTGGAGGCACAACACCCTCCCCTCCCTGTTTTCAAATCAGAAACTTGGAAGTCATTCTTGAGTCCTCCCTCCCCCTCCCTCCCCCCTCCCCCTCCTCCTCCTCTTGAGCCCTCCCTCCCCAGTCAATCTCTTGGCCTCTTCTGTTTTACTGGTAGGTAGGTATCTCCGGAGTGGCCCACTTTGGTCTACTTTGATTGCCCCTGCTCTTTCTGGCCATCCCATCTCTTGCCTGTCCCACAGCTACAGCCTCCCCTCCAGGCTCTCTGCAGCCCATTCTCCACATTGACGCATTTTTTTCAAAATGCAAATTTTACCAGGCCACTTAAAACCTTCCAGGGTTGCCCTGTGGTGGGTCCTTCCCTCCCCCCACCACAAGCTGCTTCCCAGCCACTCTCCACCTTGCTCTCTGCACCTCAGCCCCACTGGCTCCTCCATTCCCTAAGTACCTTCACCACAGGGATCTGCTCCTGCTCATCCCTCTACGACTCTCCTGGTTATTTCTACTTAGCTTCCTACCTCAGCTTAACCATCTGTTCGCAGAGAAGCCTTTTCCTGAACTTCCAGGCCTTTATTCTAAGATACTATGCATCAGAAATCCCTTCCCTCTGAACGCTTATCTCAGTTTTCAAGTTTATATTCATTAAAGTGGTGTTCTGATTAATGACATCCCCTCAGAAGAGCCTAAGCTCCTCGAGAGAGGAAGGCCCATGGCTAATTGTGCTCACTGTATTTTTCTAGCACCCAGAAGAGTGCCTGACACATAGGAGACGTTAGAAAAGTTCTCTGAATGAAGGAACAAACGGTTGTGTCTCTAAGGCCCTGAAAAGCAGTTACAACAGTCAACAGTCTATAGCCATAGTTTGTGTTACTTACTTGTAAATAAAATCAGGTCCAGGTGTGACTGCAGATGGTGCAGACCTGCCAGTGTGGGGGAGGGAATCTCAGGCTGCCTGTCCCCTGGCCAGCTCCCACCTCGTCTTGCCACATTGGTGAACATATACTTGAAAAAATCATACACGAATCTTCTCTAAGAACTAACAATAATTTTGAAGGACATACCAGTCCAAGTCAATATTGAGGGGAAAAAAAGTATTTACCATCTCCTCAGGGACATTGTCTCACTATGGCTACAGTCAGTTTAGGTAACTATTCAGAAAAATTATTCATCTCTGTCTTCAAGCAAATAGCTTTCTCCTGATTGATTAAGAAGCTGACAGGACATGGTACACCTGGGTGGCACAGTCGGTTAAGTGTCTGACTCTTTGTTTTGGCTCAGGTCATGATCTCAGGGTTGTGAGATCGAACCCTGCATCAGGCTCCACACTCAGCGGGAAGTCTGCTTGAGATTCTTTCTCTCCCTCTGCCCCTTCCCACCCCCCTCGTGTGCTCTTCTCTCTCTCTCTAAAATATATAAAAAACCCTAAAATTAAAAAAAAAAAAGCTGACAGGACAATTAAAGTCATTTATCTCAAAACACGGAAAGTTCAAAGGTGATCTGATTGTCCCAGGACATTTCTAGCTACTTTTAAATTAGTCCTTAAAAAAATTACTGGTGCCCTGTTAATAAGGTAAAACAAAAACTCATTTCCAATGTTGACATGAAAGTGATTAATACCTTTATATATATCAAAATTATTATACCTTTATATATAAAACATAGCTTCTTAATCTTCCCTCTATTATTTTACTTATTTATAGATTTGTTCCAGGAATGATTTAAGACAGGTTACAATACATAAAATATGACAAAATAACACAAGTTACAAATAAATTAGAAATTCAAAGGAAAAATAGGGTAGGGACCAAAAATGGACTCAGAAATGAGGCCAATTAAAAAATGCCTTTTGTCAGGACGGTGGACCAGTTGTCTACACAACAGTCATCTGACCCTTCTTCCTTCTGGAGAGCCCCGATTTTGTTCTGGTAACAAGTGTCCAGCTCTCAGCCCTAGAAGATGAATCATGATTGACCTAAGAGAGTCATGGATCCCTTGCTGGACCATTCTTGTTTGAAAAGCACGTCCTTATTGTTTGAGACACTGTGAGTGAAATCTCTTACTCCTGGCTGGTAGCTTCGTCCCTGAGGCATGTGCTGCTATTTCTCATTGTCTCTAAGCTTTCCAGCAGTCCACTCCAACAGGGACATTTGGTTAGAAATGACTCAGTATCCATAAAACAAACAACAGGCCTGCACCTCAGGAAAAGCACAATATTGCTAAAACTAAGACCAACTAAAACAAGGGTTGAAAAGGGTCCACGTATTTATCTAATGGATTTAAAATCCTGCATGAAACACCAATGTAATAAAGATACTGTAATCAGCAATCCAAGCCAAATTGGCTTTCTTTTTTGACATAATTTATTAGTCACCTTCAAGTTTCATTTTCTATGTGCTCCTTAAGTTAAAACATTATTCTCTGAGCCAAATGAAAGTGCATTTCACAAATTAATTTGGACAGTGGGAGTGGAAAAGGCGTTCTTAGCAATCTAACCTTTGGCTTGTGAATACAGAGCCCTAAGTCTTTGAATTGGCAGACCAGTGGGGTGGGTAGGGAAAAGGTCTAGATGGTTTCCATATACTTTTCAAAGAAAGAATATGTGTTTTATTCTATGTATTTCTTCAGAAAAAGTGTAGGCATTCAAGAGGACCGGGAAAGATCACATTCTAAAAAGGATTGTTTCCCCTTTTAACAATGACATAAGAAGAGATTCTATTTTTACTTATAATTTTATTTTATCTAGGAATAAGACTTCTTTTTTAGTTTATCTGTTTGTCTATGTATTTATATTCAGCTTATAAAGACAAGAAACAAACATAGCACTGGTAGAAAGAATGTCTCCTTCTGTGTGCTCTCCTTGACTGCTTGAGCCCATAAGCCAATGACTATTGCTGCCATACTACCAGGAATAGTCCCCCCTCCAAGCCCAAAGAAGCTTATTATTATTTTACTATTTTAATGACCAGAACTTGCTAATGTGGGCATGTGAAATGTAACCTTGGAAAGGAATGCTCTCCATACCAGGAAGTCTTTGAGAAGGCTTGAGTTCTTGCCATAACTAAAAATCTGATGATGCATTACTGATGACTTCATCCCCAAATGAAGGCTAGCTGCCTGTGTCCATAATCCTCAGGGAGAATCACACCAAGAAAAGACTAATTCGAAAATAGAATACAGGGACACTTCATTTGCTCTATTGAATAAAATGAAGGAACCAGTCTGTGCAAGGATAGAGGATCACCTTGCAGCCCCTGCTGGAAGGGCCTATGTTTCTTTTATAGCACAGAGAGCAACTGCAGAGTGCTTCACAGAGACAAAGAAAGAAAGAAAGAAAGAAAGAAAGAAAGAAAGAAAGAAAGAAAGAAAGAAAGAAAGAAAGAAAGAAAGAAAGAAAGAAAGGAAGGAAGGAAGGAAGGAAGGAAGGAAGGAAGGAAGGAAGGAAGGAAGGAAGGAAGGAAGGAAGGAAGGAAGGAAGGAAGGAAGGAAGGAAGGAAGAAAGAAAGAAAGAAAGAAAGAAAAAACGAACAAACGAACGAAAGAAAGAACAAAAGAAAGAAAGAGAAAGAAAGAAAGAAAGAAAGAAAGAAAGAAAGAGAAAGAAAGAAAAGAAGAAAGAAAGAACAAACGAACGAAAGAAAGAACAAAAGAAAGAAAGAGAAAGAAAGAAAGAAAGAAAGAAAGAAAGAAAGAAAGAAAGAAAGGGAAAAAGAAAAAGAAAGAATGGCTAATGGGGTTTTTCAGTGGGGTTCGTGAATGAGGAATGTAGAAGTAAAGTGGTCCCCCCCATATGAGGCTCTGTGCCCCAGGAGCTCTGACACTTCGTAAGTCATTGCACATCCTGGCTTTCTCTTTAGAGAAAGGGAACGGTTCCATTCCAGTTGATGGTGGCTTCTCTCCACTTGGTCCTGATTGCCATCTCTACTGGAGAAAACCGTCTTCTTGGTACATGTTCATCTTCATGTTGGTTCCTTTCCCAGTGATGGGAGTGAGTATCTGAGTGAGGAACAGCCAGCATTTTTTTTAAAGATTTTATTTATTTATTTGAGAGAGAGATAGTGAGAGAGAGAGCAGGGGGGTGGGCAGAGGGAGAGGGGAGAAACAGGCTCCCCGCTGAGCAGGGAGCCTGACCTGGGGCTCAATCCCAGGACCCTGGTATCAGGACCTGAGCAGAAGGCAGACACCTAACCGACTGAGCCACCCAGGCACCCTGAACAGCCAGCATTTAGGCCCTAGCCTCTCTACACCATTCCAGAGGAAGCCAGGAAGGAAGGAAAACACACAATGGGTGGGCAGGAGCTGGGCTCAGCAAGCTGTGTTCCTAGAACTGGTTAAGCAGAAGGGGATTCCAGTAGAAGGTATGTAGAAATGCCCCATACAAAACAAGTCTGTGGTAACATGGGTTGTTATGTATTTTGGAATATGAATAGTGATAAGTCGTGATATGCATCCCAGCACCATGATAGGACACATAGAGCCAGGTGTAGGCCACAGAATGCTGTCAGGAAAACCAGGAGAAGGGGAGCTCATCACTTCTCAGTGATTCTAAGAGTACATTTACATTTTTGGGTGAAGGGCAAAGTAGCTTAGTGAGGTAGTCAAGAACTGGGTTCAAGAGCCAGCTTTGTCTCATATGACATTTGAGAAGGTACTTAACATCTCTCAGCCTCATTTGTTCAGTTAGTAACTATTTATTGGCTACCTCAGTTTCTTCTATGTGGAAATAGATATCATAGTATCTACCTCCTATAACTGCTGTGAGAACTTAATGGGATTATATGTACAGCTTCCAATACAGTGCCCAGAAGAGCATGCTTGAAGTACATGTGAGTTAATACAAAAATCTCAGAAAACAAACTGAAGGTTGCTGGAGTGGTGGGGGTTGGGGGATGAGGTGGCGGGGTGATGGACATTGGGGAGGGTATGTGCTATGGTGAGTGCTGTGAATTGTGTAAGACTGATGAATCACAGACCTGTACCTCTGAAACAAATAATACATTATATGTTAAGAAAAAAAAAAAGAAGAAGATAGCAGGAGGGGAAGAATGAAGGGGGGGGAAATAAGATGGGGAGACGAACCATGAGAGACTGTGGACTCTGAGAAACAAACTGAGGGTTCTAGAGGGGAGGGGGGTGGGGGGATGGGTTAGCCTGGTGATGGGTATTAAAGAGGGCACGTTCTGCATGGAGCACTGAGTGTTATGCACAAACAATGAATCATGGAACACTACATCAAAAAATAAAGATGTAATGTATGGTGATTAACATAACAATAAAAAAGTAAAAAAGTAAAAAATTAAAAATAAATTAAAAAACCACACACACACACACACACACACAAATGATGTTTTCTGGGGTGCCTGGGTAGCTCCATTGGTTAAGCGTCCGAGTCTTGGTTTTGGCTCAGGTCATGATCTCAGGGTCCTGGGATCAAGCCCCATGTCTGGCTCTGTGCTAAGCTCAGAGTCTGCTTGGGATTCTCTCTCTCCCTCTGCCCCTCCCCGCATGCTCGGACATGTGCACGGGAGCCTTCTGTCTCTCTGTCTCTCTCTCTCAAATAAATAAATAAATAAATAAAATCTTTTAAAAAATGATGCTTTCCTCAAAGAAGAGAGTAAAGTAGGAATGATATTTTAAGGAACATATTGTCAATGTCTTCCTCAATTAAATGGCCTAATATATATCTTTCATAATTAAAGAAGAATTAGGAGCTGCACAGAAAAAAAGTCACTAAGACTTTTCCAGATTTAGTCATTATAATGAAAATTTGTTTAACACCAGGCCCATGATGCTAAATGCCAGGTCAAACATCAAGCCGTCAAGCCTCCACCAGTAGAACCAAGGTACCCAATACAGACTCCCAGTCTCATTGTGTTTATTCCCTTGTCCAAAAGGCCAGTGTTTCAAGACACTAAAAGTTTAAAGACATTTAAAGTTTACTCTTTTTTCCTTATGAGTTTAAACGAATATGGGTGTAATGGAAGTAAAATGACCTGTGTGGTCGTCTGCCCCTCCCATTAGACCGGACCCTCTTCAGTTTTGCTGAACTATGGACTATGCCTTCGTTGTCGTGGCTTTCCTAGTGTCTAGCACAGCGCCTGGCACTTAGGAGGACCTCAAATATCTGCACCGAAATGCACTCTCAGTGTGCTGACTAATGTCGCTGGATGATCACCTGATCGGTTGTAGGATAGAATTGACCAAATGGCAGCCCCCTGCCCCAATCCCTCCATTCTTCCCAGTTCTTCCCTCAGGCATTAAGTGCCTGATGTTCACAGGTAAAAGATCCCGGAGAGGGCTTTTTTGGAGATGTGATTCTCCCCCTTTTGTTGTTTCTCTTACCTAGAGGTTGTTTGTTCCTCTGTGCTACTTCTAAGCCCGCTGCTCTTATTTAAAGCAGCTGTAGAATGCCCGGGTTGCCGTGCTTGGGTTTAGGCCCCTGGGACTCGTGCATGGGTTTCATTTCAGAACTCAAGCCTAAGCATTTCCCTGCAAAGCGAGTGGGAATACCCACACAGCAGTGAAACATCCGCAGCCGCATCTTTCTGAGCGCACGAAAGCGCTCGGCACTTGGGGTTTGAAATGCTCACCTACTGTGAGATGCACAGGCGTGTTCTGGGGGGGGCGGCCACTGTACAGATACAGAGCAAAGCGACGCTCCGCTTTCCAGTCTGATGAGAGCTGCCTGTTTGTGCTAAAAAGGACGCTGGGTTTTCCACTGATGTTGCACAGCCAAATAGGTAATTTGGGGGTCTTCAGCATGCTGCCCACCTGGAAGGGGAGAGGTGGATGCAGATGAGTATATAGATTTGGCCACATCCCGGTGGATGCTGATACATCATCGCGATCAAAACGCAGCTCGGAGGCTTCTTCTCACACTTGTAGGTGCACAGGGCGCTCTGCGCGCAGTGAGATCTGAAGCGAAGGCTTCGTCATGAGCGAGTTTACATGTACGCAGGCTGTGGTGTAGTGGGGATGCTGCGGTGTGGGGATGGCCTCATGGAGGATGTGGAGCCACCTCAGTTTGGCGTGGAAGTTTAGAGAATAAACAAACTGAAACATAAGTGTAGTGCTGGAATAAAAGAACTTCCATTTGTCTTCGTCATTGACTGGTGTATTTACTCCTATGCCCAAGGTAGGACAATATTTCATTCGGCAGGTGGTCAGACTTCTGGAAACACTAACCATTTAGAATATAGGAAAAAGAGAATATTTAGAATATAGAAATATAGAATATTTGGGGCGCCTAGGTGGCTCAGTCGGTTAAGCGATTGCCTTCGGCTCAGGTCATGATCCTGGAGTCCTGGGATCGAGTCCCGCATCGGGCTCCCCACTCGGTGGGGAGTCTGCTTCTCCCTCTGACCCTCTCCCCTCTCATGTACTCTCTCTCACTCTCTCTCTCTCCAATAAATAAAATCTTTAAAAAAAATAAAAAATAAAAATAAAAATAGAGAGGTATAGGGGTGCCTGGGTGGCTCAGTTGGTTGGGTGTGTGATTCTTGATTTCGGCTCAGGTCATGATCTTGGGGTTGTGGGATCGAGTCCCGCATCGGGCTCCCTGCTCGGCGGGGAGTCTACTTCTCCCTCTGACCCTCCTCCCTCTCATGCTCTCTGTCTCTCATTCTCTCTGTCTCAAATAAATAAATAAAATCTTAAAAAAAAAAAAAGAAATATAGAATATTTTGAATGGAGGGAAGAGCTCCTGGGAAATGAGGGGAAAACACAGACATACATACAAACATTCATACATAGACACACATATCTATCTGCCTGTTAACACGCACATCAGATGTGAAGATGTACTGAGAGCGGAGCATACTAGTTTAGCATTACAATAATAATATTAAGTTTGCTCTTTTAACTAGTTTATCTAGCTTTTCCCCGCAACTATCATTTCAGCTTGACTTCTCATGACTAGTGAATTAGACTGACAAAAGTACCACTCTGAGAGGCCCCTTCCGGCATCATGATATTACAGTGCGTTTCCATTTATGATATCTACCATTTTGTTTAAAGAGACAGGAAAGCACATATTTTTTAAAGATTTCCATCAAAACGTATTAATGTTAAAAACTAATTTTTTCTATGTAGAGAAATAAGCATGAACTACATAGAAAAAAAAAAAAAACAAACCATCATTTTCATGTGATGCCAGGGAGAGCTACTGGACCCTCAGCCTTGGCGTGTCTTCCCATAACGGAAGGATCCAGTTCTGGTTCTTTTCTCCATCAGTCCTTAGAGTTGTCCTGTGTGTTCAGGAACAGATTCTGTTTTATGGAAAATCCAGCTTTGAAAAATTATCACGTCTCATAAACCCAAGTATTAAAGGCTAATAACTTGACATTTGGATTTCTCAATAGTTCTATTCAAATCTCTTCGTTTTGCTTTAGTTTAAATTCTTCAGTTGTGGGTGAGTGGGTGAATCAGAAATGCTTTTGTCTTTAAGATTTTCACTTTCGGCTACCATAGAAAAATTTTATTACTGTGTTTGAAAGACACAAACTCTGTTTTAGTTAATAGTTTAAAAAGGGGGTGCAAGCCTAGCACCTCAATTTGGACATGCTCATAGTGGGTGCAGGAATTGCTTATCTACTCACACTAGAATTAGCCCCTCTGGGCTGAGTATAAATATGAGCATCTCACATATCAAACGGGCGAGTCGCCCACTGGCTACGTCAGAAATAAAACACAGAGGATGTGCAATGGAAGCCAACAAATGTGTTTACGTTCCAAGAATCCACCCACAAGTTCCAAATAACATTGTAACCATTCATTAGTTACAAAATAAGCACTTTCTCTCTTAGGCCTTCTTGCCATGGCACCTTGTATACTAAGATTAGATGTAATCAAAATACGATCTTCGGGACATGGAATTTTTAAGGTTGGAAAACTTGGATAAACTAGGAAATTGAGGGCTGTTTTGGAATAAAATGTCACTTATTTTGAAATTCAAAAGAATTGAATTTGGGCCGATTTTCAACCAATGGAAGTTCCTGTAAATTACGTCTGGGTGGATGTAATAGAATATAGACATGTATGATATTGTTTCACAGAGTTTTTGTAACAGAGGCAAAATTCAACTGGCACTCAGGTAACTCTCTGCGAGGTGCTGACACCACACTGTTGTTACTTTCCGCAACAACACAACAGTTTTCTCTTCTGAACCCAAAGCTACTCAAGATTTTATTAAGAGTAGGAGGAAGATAAAGTAGTTATAAATACGACAATCTCTTCTATACAGAGACTGCACACTGAGCAGGCAGAGCCTCACTTGCCTTCAGAGATTCTAGGGGAAAGGAAAATGTCATGCATGACTGTCAAGGCACTTTGGCTATTAACTCTAAGCGGCAAGCCTTAAGATCGCAGCTGAGAACACACCTGGTTTCAAGTGGGGCCTGCGAAAACAAAACGAAGCACCTCCCAACCGAATGCAGCCAAATATTATATCCCCTTTTTTTCTTAGCACACCACATCATGTGTTTGGAACTTTCAGATAAAAATTTGTATTGCTTTTGGGTAGACAGTGTATCAGCTAACCTCCACCCCCAAAAGCCACATTCTAAATATGTTTTATTGGTGAGATTCCCCCAATGCAGAATTTGTGCATGTTGCCTCGTGTTGCCATGGTAAAAAAGGAAATTAACTTGTGATACAGTAGTGCTATAAATAAAATACCTTTCTCCTTAAGTTCACTCATTGTGTAATAAGCCCAGTGTTACATGCAGCAATCAAGCCTTTCATAACATGTATCATTTAAGCCAGTGTAAAACTATAAGGACAGGAGGAAGGATGGATAAATTCTAAACACTACAGGGCAAGGATTGAGTCCATGTAACTCTTTTTTTTTTTTTTTTTTTTTTGCCATCTAGAACAATGGTGCTTAGAATGTGCCTTTGCATAATGAGCTTGATATTGCAAGTCCCAAGGGCCCAGTTTGGTAATGGGAATGGGAGAAAGGTGTTGGAGATTTGTGCTTTCTTCCCTGATTTCTGGTGACGATTCGCGTGCATAACTGTGAAGGGTCTGGCTCTCTGCACCTGCAACACAGAATTGATGTAACTTCCCTCGGCGAGTTCGCAGGTATGTTGTCATGTTTGCGGGGTGCGACCTCAGCAACTTGGTGGGGAGAGCGCCGTGGGTGGAGCTTCACATGGTACTTTTATGGTTGGATTTCTTCCTACGAGTCTCTTTAAAGGGAATTTAAAGAGGGAAGAGGGTACGGCTGGGATGGTGGTGTGCTCTGTGGGGGCTACCAGGGGAGTAATTCCAGCAAGACCTAAATGGCTTCAGCCCCTTCTAAAAATCAGAGTTGATTTTTCTGCTCGGTGGCAGGTGCGAAGATAATGCAAACCTCCTAAGGCTTTCCAGATGGTGTTAGACTCAAACTGCTTTATGTTCTCACTTGGGTATCGGAACCTCACACTCAAACCTGTACCTTCAAAGAGAAAAGGGAGGGCAGGCTTCAAAATAGTGCCTAAGCTTGTGGGTAGCTGGCTGTGTTCCACAGGAACTGTCAGTCTGGTGGGCTCTGGGGGGCTTGCCATGGCATCTAATGAGAACTCCATTTTTTTTTCTTTTTTAAATCTCACCCACTGGGCTGTGACATTGGGACTGGAAGACGTGTATTTTTGCAGTCTCTGCAATTTTATCCCAGAGTAAGAAGAGATTTACTTTAGGAAGACAGATACAGCATTACAGGATGGTTTTCACCTGGACAGCAGAATCTGTTAGTACGTTGGTTTTCTTTTGAACTCCAAAACCTTTCTTATATTAGATTTTTATTATCAGTGGATACACATAATCTTCTCACCCTAGGCAGGAGCCCCTATGTACCCGCACAGCACCTAAGTACCCAGTTGGCACGTTCAGGAGTCCTGTGTGGAGGAGTAACCCTGCTCAGAGCAGAAAGGAAGGGGTTTGGCCGTGGGGGTCTTCAATCCAGTGATATAGAGAGCACTGTTCTGGAACCACATCTAGGTCCTTCTGAGCAGACATATGTTCTGCAAGGTACTTCAGTTCTATGATAAAATACTGTGAACTATGAGGCTTCTGGATACACTGTGGTCACGTGTGTCTTCCGTTAGCATGTCTCTCAGTGCCACTGAGCTTGTCCTTTGGCCATGTACTAGACAGACACGGTCTGCCAAACCAGCAGGTGAAGGGGGGCAGATCCTTTTCAGAGGGTGTGCCCCAAGTACGTGTTGTTCACGATCAACTCAAACTTATGACTGCTTTAACCTGGAAGTCAATGTACAAAGTTCTAGCTTATTGAGTCATGCCTTCTAAAACCTAGCCATGGTATTGCCACCACCTAAATGTTAGAGTCTAGGGCGCCTGGGTGGCTCAGTCGCTTGAGTGTCCAACTCTTGATACCGGCCCAAGTCATGATCTCAGGGTCCTGGGATCCAGCCCTGCTTCGGGCTCTCTGCTCGGTGGGGAATCTGATGGAGGATTCTTTCTCTCCCTCTGCCCCTCTGCCTGCTCACACAAGTGCTCTCTCTCTCTCAAATAAAAATAAATAAATCTTTAAAAATAAATAAATGTTAGAAGGGTGCCTGGGTGGCTGAGTCAGTTAAGCGTTTGCCTTCGGCTCAGGTCATGATCCCTCCCACCCCCCACTCGTGCTTGCTCTCTCTCTCTCTCTCATGCTCTCTCTCTCAGATAAATAAAATCTTTGGGGCGCCTGGGTGGCTCAGTCGTTAAGCGGCTGCCTTCGGCTCAGGTCATGATCCCAGGGTCCTGGGATCGAGCCCCGCATCAGGCTCCCTTCT